GTGACATTGCAAAAACGCGCAAAGAAAGGTTCAAAGTGCAGCCTGCCTGGCAAAAATGACATGTTTGTGTTTGGAAAGAGGTAAAAAAAATGAACAAAAGCATATCTTGCTTTAAAGTAAAACTACAGCTATGGGCAACCAGACCATGAACAGTAACAGAGTTTCCTTCAGCGTGGCGACCACCCTACAAACCAGCTGCATGCAGAAGCGCAGGAACAGCCAGGGTGGGCATAAACCCAAGTTTGTGATCTTGCCTCTCCAAATGCTCTGGGGAACAGCAGCTGTGGGGAGCCCCGGGGCCTGCAGTGGGGCAGAGCATAGACCGGCACAGCCTGATTAGATGATGTCTGTCACTGTGTTGGGAAGACACAGCCTTTTGGTGCATGTGGGACAAACCTGAGCACACCTGAACATTTTTCCCCATAAAGTTTTCTGGTGAAGAAAAGTGTAAGTCCTCAACTGCTCACCTCCCACATGCAGGATCTGCAGTTTTGCCTGAGTGAGGACTGCGGGGCGGAGCTTCTGTCTTCTTTGATTGGGAAACCAGTGAACTCCAGTCCTGGTCTTCTGGCTGGAGGAAAAAATTATCTGGCCTAATTCATCAGCTTGACAGGAAATACTTCGTATGGAAGTACTTCTACAGTACCAAATTTCTAAAAATTTCCATAGCTGCTTTGGTATCATGAGTGACCGTGATTGCATGACACAGCCTGCCTTTGTGCCAGAAGGGAAGGACTTGGTGCCACAAAACTGCCTTTTTTTAATTCCCTAACTTTCAGCTTTTCCTTGCAACACCCCTCTGACCATTCTGTTGCCAGGCAGTACTTGGCCCTGAAACTCAGTCAAGTGTGATTCAGCATTTAGTTGACCCACTGGAGCATAAAACCTGACTTTGCTGGCTTTTAGATGCACAGCAGAGGTAGTTTCTCTTGCTGTGAGGTAGGTCTGGGGTTTGTTTATTTTACAGGTCAGCATGATGGGCCAGGTTTATGGCTGATAGGCATACAGGGAGCAGAGAGCTCAGGAGGTGCTCAGGACCCAGCCAGACCAGAGATGGAAGGGCTGTAACACCAGCCACAGAGAAGGAGATGGGATACCCCATACACCTTTTCAGGCATATCAAAAATGCATTTTGCATATGCTTTGAGCTCTAGTGCTTATATAAACGAGATGTTGCAATATCAGTGGTGTTAATACACTTGAATTTCTTGTTGATCTGTTTCTATAGTAGCTGTATCACAGTTGTGCTAATGGGTGTTGTTTTCTGAAGAAAGTCAAAGCTGATTTTCAGTGATTTAGGTCGAAACCAGCCAGGGAAGTACACGTCTGCTCTTCAAGATCATCAGGAAAGACGCTCAGAAAGGGAAAGGGGTTGACTTGGCAGCGTGTCGAATTGTTCACAGGGCCTCAGCAGAGCTCCTGGCATTCCCAAGGCACGGCAAGGTCATCTTGAAAGCACAGTTGCATTTCTCTGGTGTTGTTTATGTTAATATCCTGAGAATGACTTGCGTATTTCAACCTTACGATGGGTTAATCATTAATTAAGGTCTTACAAAACTGAAGTCAGAAAACAGCAGTCTAGGAAAAGAAAAAAAAAATTCTCTTTTAAAATGTCTGTTCAGAAAAAGCTGCCTAGATTCATTTTAATCTTGGGTAGCTTGGATAGATGTCTGAAGACCTGTAAAGGGCCATGGTTTAGTGGTTTCTTTCTCATCCAAGTGAGCATAGGTGGACCTCTAGTGAGTGGGAAGGTCAGCAACAGATCACAGGGAAGCCATTAGTTCTTATGTGACTTGATGATTTGTCTGACAGTTGAAGTCCTGATGTGGCTGCATCTCCTTGAAAGCTGCTTTTAGCATTGTGTTGATTACCCATTCCCTGAGCAAGACAGATTGATGTGGTAGTGGAAATGATTTCTGGGATGCACTGATTCCTAAACCAAACCTGCAATGTTTATACAAGGAAAACCCAAAAAATTAGGTAACTATCCTCACTCCCAAATACTACAAAAAATTTTTTAAAAGGTGTTTTCTTTCCATTTCCTTGTACAAAAAAGGACTAGGGAAACCTCTCGCGATTAGTATCCTTCAGGAAACCCAAGGCATGTTGGCATAAAGTGCCTTGTTCTAATTGCATTAGGAGAAATGATTGCTAGAGGTAGGAAGTTGCAGACACTTTTGCTTTCTTATGAGGGACGTAGAAGCTCATGCAGTATTGATTCTGGTCTCCTTCTCTTTCGGATTGTTCACTAGTGCTAGTCCCTGCCTTGGCAGCCAACACTTCTCCCATCTCTCTGCTCTGCCTCAGTTTACCTCTGCTCCCTCACACTGCTCTTCTCCCCAGACTTGGTATTTGCAGCAAAGTTTCTCCAGGTGCACTTAAACCAAGGGAACAGCCAGCGACTCTGGAGGACTGCAAATACTGCCAAGATGTGCAGCTTTTAGCTTTCTGTGCCTTTGAAGGGCGGAGCGTGCCGAGATGAAAACGATATGCCAGTCCCCAGTGCTTCTGCCCTGCAGGGAGGACAGGCAACAGGGCTACAGGGGGTTTGTGTGCTGGGTGGATGGAAAGCACAGAGGGATGCCAGCTTCAGCTCCATCCATCCAGGCACCAACTCTAAACTGCATGTGAAAAGAGATATAGCCTGATCAGAGGCTGTTGGAAGAATGGGGAGATGGCCAGTATGCCTGCTGGGCAGGTAACTGTCTTCTGCAGGTGGTGGGATGGGGGAGCCAGTGGGACAGTGCATCTTCCCAAAATGGGGAGAGGGCCAGTATGCCGGCTGGGCAGGTAACTGTCTTCTGCAGGTGGTGGGATGGGGGAGCCAGTGGGACAGTGCATCTTCCCTCCCCACAGGAGCCTGTGGGGGTGCTGGCAACGGCACCCCACTCCCCTCCTGCCATGACCACCCTTTCCCCAGCTTGGAGGGGAGCACAGCCTCAGCAGAGTGGCTAAACCTGGCAGTGGGATGTTGCAATGAAATAACAGTCTCCATTTTTAAAGAATGCTTTATTCACTACATCCTAGAAATGTACTGTAAATGGAGCAAGAACTAAATAAACTCAGAGGCTTCTGACAGTACAGAGAACAGAGATACAATAAAACACCTAAAATATCAGCTCTTTTGAGAATAAGGCACACTAGTTTTGTTTTATATATATTTCTTTGAATAGTTTGTTCTTAACCTAAAGATGTTCACATTTCAAGTTATCAGACTTACCTCAGTAGTAGTGTACATGAAATGGATTAGAAGCAAGTGTAAAAGGCACGGGCGGGAGGCTCAGCATGACCCAGCTGCCTGCATCCCCGTGTCCTGCCTGCGTCCCCCCGTCCTGCCTGCCCCAGCACAGGCAGCACCCACCAGTGGCCTGGGACTCCTCAGGGTTTGCTCTTGTTGGCCCCTTTCTCTCCCTGCCACCTCTGCGAGCAGCGGGACCCTTGTCCTGCTGGCAGGAGGAGGATGAGTGGGAAGGGAGCTGTCACCCTTCATCCCTCCTCTGTGGGTCGGCCGTGGCGTAGGGCTGGAAAGGGGCCGGCAGAGACCCAAACCCACTAGACTGCCTTTTCCTGACCCCAGGGGTGTTTGTGCAGAGCCCATGGACCCTCGATGGCATTTAGTGTTGAGCCGTGCAAGGCCTGAGCTTTGCCCAAATCGCCTCCTCTTGCCCTACAAACGGGCAGGGCCACGGGGCTAAGGTCTGGGTCGTGCTTTCAGAAGTGCAGGGACAGACAATAAAAGTCTCCGGGAAGGGGCGTGGAGGGGCAGAGTCCGACCTAATGGTTAACCTCCTCGCAGCACTTTCGCCAAGGGGGCGACAGGATTTAGGAGAGCTCAGCCTGGCTGAGCAAGAGCACCTAAAAAACAACTGCTCAATTTTGAGGCAAGGAAAACAAAAAAACCCAAAAATTGTATTAAAAGGTCACTTAACTGAGCTGGACATGGTCTGGAAGTGGTTGAGTTGTCAAAATATACTCAATACAAAACCCCTTCGGTTGGTACTTCTACCACAAAAAGTAAAGGAACGTTGTTTGCTCACTCCCTGCTTCGCACCTCGTGTCACCGGAGCTGTGTTTGCACGGCTGATGCACTTCATACACTGGGCAAGATATTTGTTTACCGTTTTACTATATTTTACATTCACCGCACTGCTAAATAAAAGCCTTTAAACAGGCCACAAAACACTGCAATAATAAATTTACTTCTTAATAAAACAAACTTTTTTATAACATCGCAATAAAAGGTCTTTGTTTTGTGGCAAACCACATACCATGTAAATTTGCAACATAAAATGACTTTAAAAAGGTATCTTAAAAGATATTTACAAGCTCTATGTGTTGAAATCATAGGGTCTATTTGCTCCCGCCCCTGGTGTGCACGTACAACTCCAGTTGTGGAGAAGGGGAATTAAGCGTGGAAGGGAGGCCGGGAGGGAGGCTAGCCCCGTTTCCCTAATTCCAGGATCACTACCACCCCTGGTACCTCGGAAATTTCTCACGGAACATGGTGGAGCGATGGGTGAGTAATGCTGTGCATCCTCTCGGCAAGAGCGCGCCTGCTCTTGCCGGCAGCAGCATACATTCGCAGTCACTACAACATATACTTCAAAGCATAAAATAAAGAGTGTTGAAAAAGAGCCTAGGCTTTATACTGGATGAAGATCTAAGTCAAGACACCTCGCGCGAAATAGCGGCTACTCGTGTTCTGCACGTGCTCCAGCTACGAGTAGCTTCAATAAATAGAAATCCAGTTGTTAAGGAAAACTCAGAGCCTTGCCCTTACTTAACACAAGCCTGGACATCACGCTGTGAAGGGCTTTGTGCGAGGCAGCTTTTGTTTTTTCCTCTCTTTCTCCCAAACGGGCGATATTAGTTACTTCTGATTTCCAATAAGAACGAGCAGATTGTATTAATGCCAGCACAAAAATGCAGAGGTCTTGCACATTTTTAAAATTGCACTTTCCAGTATAATTTTTTAAATAAGATACTTGTTGGTTTTTTTTCTTTAAAAAAAAAAAACAAACCCTAAGTTCTTTATTCTTTAAATATTGAATATATTTTTCAAAATATATTGTTAAAACTTTCCCTAGCTGCTCAGGTGTGCTTTTTAATATATAGCTGATATATTATTAAAGGCACTACAAAATAGACATCTCTGGAGTGCAGAAGTTACTAAAAAATAACCTTCATACCACAAATATATTGAAAATATAACTGCTAAAAAAAAAAAAAAAGACCCTCTGCAACCCCACTAGGATGCATATAAATGTACATCAGCGGTGGGCTGGGTGCATCGAGGTCCTTTAGAAATGTATGAATACAGGCACGTTAAATTTTAAAAATAGCCTAAAAAAGTTAGTGAAAACTTCAAGCGTAGAAAATATTTCAAACACGTTTTTCTATGACATTCTTCACTTTCTGCATCAGTTTACTGAGCCCAAATGTTTATTCTTTTGCAGCCGGTTCTTTCTTCATAAATAGTAAAGTGTTCCTTCAGTGTGTGTGTTTCTCCATCACCCTCCTCTGCTGACAGTCTCAGTACGTCTGGTAGACATCGTGGATGGGGACCTGGATGGCCGCAGCCGGGAACGCCGGGGGGATGTAGCTGGCATATCCCCCATAGGCAGCAGCGGCGGCAGCGGCAGCAGCGTTCTTCTGTAGCGTGGCTATCGTTGCCGTCGTCGCGGCAGGCGCCGCAAATGGCACATAACTTGTCCCATAAATCCCGGCGGCGGGGATCCGCTGCACGTTGGGAGCCATGGTGTAGACTGGCGTGATGGGGCGGCCCTGGAAGGAAAGCACTGGGTTCAGACCTCAAAAAAAGTGCTTAAATTGCTGTAATATCCCGTTTCCACACCCTGAACTGCAAACCCCCTAGAAGGGAAGGTGGTAAGAGGAGGGTAGGCAGTGCGTGCCCTGTTGAATGAGAGTTATGCCATCATGGGGGGCCGTTCCCTCCCTACCAGATTTGGGTCCCCCATAGGGGGAGAGCATCTGTCCAAAGTACAGATGTCTAAGACAGGTCAGCTGAACGGCAGGGCTGTTGGGCGCTGTAACATCCTCGACAGCATCTCCTGAACGGGAGCAGGGCAAGAGGCCAAGATTTCCCCCCACCCTGGGAGGGCAGAGCAGGACGTATGGGAAGCAGGATGTATGGGAAGTGAGACTTACATGCTGAACTCACCTGGAAGGGGGGGGGTGGA